ATTAAAAAAGTTTTTTTGTTTTTTATCTTTAATAAAACTAGTAGTTAAATGTTGTTTTAAATTTTTTGCACCTCTATATATTATAGTCGGTTTCTCTCCTATAATATTTTTAAGAGCTGGATCAGATCTAAGAATGTGCCAATATTTATTTATATGTTTAATTTGCCTAGCGTTTTCATTATAATTTAAAACAATAGGGACTCTTAAAGGTTTTTCATTATTTTTCACTATTAATTCCTTTTTTGGTTTTAAAATTTTTTTTCGTTCTTTATCTTTGGTATTTTTAATAAAAAAATCCAAAGACTTTGGATCGTAATTTTTTTCCACTAGCCTAGTTTTTAAAAATTGTGCTTGTTCTTCAAATACTTTAGTATCACTACAATTTCTATATATTCGCAAAAATTGGCTATTTGGCATATTGTGTAGCCATGGACCATAGTGGCAACTGGATGTATCAATGTATCCATTAACGTCAACTTTTTTAAAAAATGTTTTAGTATGGATGGCCTGATTTTCAATATATATAAATAGATCCAAAAAGCTAATGCCAGTAGTGCTATGTTCACTAGTGATACGTATATCAGAATTATTTTCATTAAGAAACTCCACAAAAGATCCAAGAGACTCCTCATCTCCTTGCCAAATAAAAAAAATATCATCTATGTACCTGCGATAGAGGACCAGATTGTGCGCCCAGCGTGCTTCGGAGAGAAAATTTTTTTCCCACCGTGCCATAAAAAGATTGGCATAGCTGGGCGCAAATCTGGTCCCCATCGCGGTACCTTTAAGTTGTAAAAAAAACTTACTATCAAACCAAAAATAATTGTGATGGAGGATAAGTGCAATACTATCCAAAATGAAAGTAATTTGTTCTTCATGCATATTACTTTGAAGTCTTAAAAAATATTCTACCGCTTCACAACCCAAAGTATGTGATATACATGTGTACAGACTTGTGACATCACAAGTAACTAGATAGTAGTTATCCTTCCATTGGACATCCATTAGTAGTGTAAGTAAGGATGAAGAATCTTTTAAGTATGACGGTTGTGAAGTTACTAAAGGCTGAAGTTGTTTATCTATATACTCAGATAGATTGCTTAAAAGTGATCCAACTCCAGACACTATAGGTCTACCAGGTGGATTTTTTTGATCTTTATGTATTTTGGGAAGTATATACAGTACCGGAGTCCTACAAGAAGTGACATCAAGATATTCAAATTCTTTTTTATTTAAGATCTCCAGTACTTTGCCTCTATCCAATAATTCTGAATAAGCTTTCTTAATCTGAGTAATAGGATCTCCTTTTAGTTCTTTATAGGTAGTGGAGTCATTTAATTGACGATATATTTCTGAATAATATTGTTCCCTATTTAAAATAACTACACCCCCGCCTTTATCGGCGGGTTTAATAACTATACTAGTATCAGACTGTAATTCTTTCATAGCTTTTCTTTGCTGTCGACTAATATTACTATATATAGGTTTCTTAATTTTTTTAATCTTTGGGTTGTGAAGCGGTAGAATATTTTTTAAGACTTCAAAGTAATATGCATGAAGAACAAATTACTTTCATTTTGGATAGTATTGCACTTATCCTCCATCACAATTATTTTTGGTTTGATAGTAAGTTTTTTTTACAACTTAAAGGTACCGCGATGGGGACCAGATTTGCGCCCAGCTATGCCAATCTTTTTATGGCACGGTGGGAAAAAATTTTTCTCTCCGAAGCACGCTGGGCGCACAATCTGGTCCTCTATCGCAGGTACATAGATGATATTTTTTTTATTTGGCAAGGAGATGAGGAGTCTCTTGGATCTTTTGTGGAGTTTCTTAATGAAAATAATTCTGATATACGTATTACTAGTGAACATAGCACTACTGGCATTAGCTTTTTGGATCTATTTATATATATTGAAAATCAGGCCATCCATACTAAAACATTTTTTAAAAAAGTTGACGTTAATGGATACATTGATACATCCAGTTGCCACTATGGTCCATGGCTACACAATATGCCAAATAGCCAATTTTTGCGAATATATAGAAATTGTAGTGATACTAAAGTATTTGAAGAACAAGCACAATTTTTAAAAACTAGGCTAGTGGAAAAAAATTACGATCCAAAGTCTTTGGATTTTTTTATTAAAAATACCAAAGATAAAGAACGAAAATAAATTTTAAAACCAAAAAAGGAATTAATAGTGAAAAATAATGAAAAACCTTTAAGAGTCCCTATTGTTTTAAATTATAATGAAAACGCTAGGCAAATTAAACATATAAATAAATATTGGCACATTCTTAGATCTGATCCAGCTCTTAAAAATATTATAGGAGAGAAACCGACTATAATATATAGAGGTGCAAAAAATGTAAAACAACATTTAACTACTAGTTTTATTAAAGATAAAAAACAAAAAAACTTTTTTAATGTAGAACAAGGTTTTTACCCTTGCAAATCTTGTGTGGCGTGTAGGAAGACTCTTTTTAAAAAACAAAAAACTACCTCTTTTTCTTCTTGTTATAATCATCGTTTGTTCTCTATTCGCCAGGTTTTAACTTGTCAATCGACTAATATCATATACCTTCTCTGGTGCCCATGTGGTCTGCAATACATTGGGATGACCACTAGAGCTTTAAAAACCAGAATTGCGGAACACCTGGGCAATATACAGAGGGGATATCTTAAACATAGTGTGTCAGCACATTTTGCTGTAAAACATAGAAGTGATCCATCAGTATTATCATTTATGGCCATTTTTAAAAAAGAAAAAAATTGGAGAGGTGAAAATAATGTAAAAGAGTTGGCTAAGATAGAAAGTAAATGGATTTTTGAAGTAGACACATTATCCCCCAATGGACTTAATTTAGATTTTGAATTCAGCCAATTTTTAGAGTAATTTTTATATTGATAAGTATTTTTTAATTTTTTATCTCTTTAAGATATTGTTAGTCTTTATTGTTTTTATTTTCCATCTATTGCCAACTCTTATTTTAATTACATATTTTTATTATATATTATTCTTATATTCATATATTTCTTATATGTCTATTGCCTCATATGTATGTTCAATTGAACTGAATTAATTATTTCTTCCTCTTTATACGTTCTGTATTTACATTTCATATGTTATGGACTTTGCTATCCGGTCGGCAAGAAAACGGCATGGTGAAGCTTGCGTTCCACCATGCGTTCCATTATGCGTTCCACCATGCGTTCCAAACGCCGCGAACCGGAAGTGACGTCATTTGAAAATACCGGAAGTGACAGAATCGAACGGAGACTATACACATGTGTTTGTAATGACTTAAAGTATTTAAAGAAGCTCCGGAGACCCCAATATTAGCACTTGAAGAAGGCTTGTATAGCCGAAACGCGTCTGCTGCTTGCTGCTGTTATCCAGCTGTATTTCATTATTATTTTTATTTGTGTTCATTTTGTGCACTTGCTCTTGGTTGCTGTTTGGGGTAAGTGGATATCCTTTTGTTTGCATAGTTTGGATTCCACTCCCCTATTACCTCGAGCTTTTACAATTTTGAATTTTACTTAATAAATATATATTTTTTGAGCAATTTCTCCATCCACTTTCTGGGAACTTCGTTTGCCTATATTGGCACCCTTGAGCCTACAATACAGAGCCTGGGACAGCTCTGCATAATGTGAGTGATAGTCTGTTTTGCCCTATTCTTATTGTTTCTATACAGATTACACTATGTTGTATTTTATCTTATGCTTTTAGATACCACCTGATTATACTGACAAGCTCAGGTTGTATTTTTTGCATATTTATTACCTTTTCACGTTGTGTGGTTTGATATACATTTTGTCTTTGTTAAACACCTTTTTTAGAAAGAGACCTCTCTCCACAGGACTCTCCGGGGACGTCTCAAATGGACACCAGAGGCATAAGAAAAATGCAGTTCCACGTAGAGGACAAAAGGGAAGACAGAAATACAAACTCAAGGGGCAGACCACCTCTGAGGAAGAAATAACAAGCATCTTTAACCTCTCTCAGAAAATACTAACCTGAGATCATTATTCAGTCCTATCTAAAGGTCTATCATTCGTACTGGTGGCTAAACCAGACCCATTTAAGATGGAGATTGAGCTATATAAGTTGCAACATATTCTGAATTCTAATGAACACCATAAGATTGATAAACCGGTAACTCAGAAAAACCCATTCCGTACTAAATATACAAGTGAGATTAAATTAACTAATAACTCAATAAAGACATTCATGCAAACACTTAAGAGTGATCTGGAGCAGATTATTAAAAAGCCGATGGATCATAGGTAAAATCTAACTAAGAATGAATGGGCGGCATTAAAAGATCTAAAGCAAGACCCTAATATCATTATTCGTCCTGCCGACAAAGGAGGATCTATTGTCATTGTATCATACCAGCAATATAGATCAGAAATCATGCGGCAATTATCAGATATATCCACCTACCAGAGATTAACCTTTGATCCAGTTGATAAATTTCAGAGTCTAATAAAAGAACACATTAAGATGGGTGTACAACTGGGGTATTTGAATACCTATATGTCTAACTTTTTATTTGTTCAACATCCAGTACATCCGGTATTGTACACTATTCCTAAAATCCATAAAGACATCAGTCAACCTCCAGGCAGACCCATCGTATCCGCTAGAGGCAGTTTATTAGAACCTATCACCAAGTATGTTGACTTCTATATTAAGGAGACTGTCAAGAGACTACCTACCTGCATCCGTGACACTCAAGACGTACTGACTAGAATTGAAACAATTTCGTTAAAGGATCACAATATAATATTAGCCACACTGGATGTCCAAAGCCTGTATACTATCATACCTCATATGGAAGGTATTGATGCTCTGAGGCAAATACTTAAAAGATCTGAGCAATATGATGGACCTCCAATTGAATATTTGTTGGAATTTTTACGTATTGTACTCACATGCAATTACTTTAAATTTGAAGAATCGTTTTATTTACAGTTGTCGGGGACAGCGATGGGGGCTGCAATGGCACCCTCATACGCGAATGCATTTATGTTTCAATTTGAAAGCCAGTATATCCTCAATCAAGCACCCAACAACATCTTGGCGTATTATCGTTTTGTTGACGATGTGTTTCTGTTATGGAAGGGCTTATCGAGTGAATTGGAAGAGATGATATTCAATATTAATAAATTGCCCCTACCAGTTAAGTTTACTTTGGCCTATAGTGAGAGAGAAATATCCTTTTTGGATGTCACGATATATAAAGACGGTAATAAATTAGGATATACATTACATCGCAAGCAAACCGACAGGAATACTCTACTTTTAGCTACTAGTTTCCACCCACAGAGGCTCAAGGATTCACTGCCCATGTCTCAGTATATGCGTGTATTACGCTATAACACCGATCCACAAAACAGACAACGCCAATTATTAGAGATGACATGCAGATTTCAAGAGAGGGGTTATAATTCTAAATAATAGAAGAAGCTAAAAATCGAGCAATTGAAAAATGGACAAAGGAGAGCCATGCCATTCAACAGATACCAATGAAGGACACTTCGAACATATATTTACCTCTTACATACCACACAGGATCCACGCAGATACGGAAATCAATTGACAGACACTGGGCTATATTGGCTCAGATAAACATCTGTCTCCTATGTTCAGTAAAAAAACAATTATTAGTTACAAAAGAAACCGGAATTTAAGGGATATCTTGATCCGTAGCAACCCTATCCAGTGTTATAGGAAGAATAGAACGTACAAGAAGCCAGGATGCTATAGATGCAGTGGTTGTGTAACCTGTAGCCATATGATCCCGGCAAATTTGTTTGTTCATCCCCACAGTGGGAAAAGAATCAACATATCCCATTATATCACATGCACAACGTATCATGTAATATATCTTATAACATGTCCTTGTGGTCTATCTTATGTGGGGAAAACAGACCTAACCTTAAGGGACCGTATCCGTGGACATAGATCTGGTATTATGACAGTGTATAGGGATCAAAGAACAGACCACCCAGTAGCTAAACATTTTTTGGCAGCTTCACATAGACTTCCAACACTCAAATTTGTGGCCATTGACCATGTTCCCCCGCTACCTCGCAGGGGTAACAGGTCTAAACATCTGCTTCAAAGAGAAGCTTATTGGATCTTTAAACTGGATACAGTTACACCTAAAGGACTGAACGAATATAATACGTACTCGATGTTCTTGTGAATTGCATTTTATATTGGCTTGGATAACTGTGGGGTGGATTCAAAATTAATAACTGGTATATATATATGGAAAGATTGAGATATATTATATATTATATACTTTATATGAATCTGATTTATACTGCTAGGAAAAAGGTATTGTGACACACTTCTTTTTGATAGATAATACATCAGCAAGAAGATTACTGTATTATTGTAACATAGTTTTTTAGAAAATTGTATATATATAAAAACATTTTTTGTAAACTGCATTAGGTAATATAGGGACTATACCTTTAAGTGAGACATAGCTATTGGTATGTAGAGGAAGTAATTAGATATGCACACTATTATTATTAGTACTTATGGGTGTTTTGAGCTTAGATCATTAGCAGTGAATCTGGGATAGGACAAATTAGTTATTGTCCTTATACTATAGATGTTTTTTATGTGGGGTTATAGGTTGTTTTATCCTATGTTATTCATTATAATTGGCACTTTAGTGCCTCATTCCCACATAATTGAGTGATATACTAACTTTAGAGATCCTCCTTAGGATAGATATTTTTTTCATTGTATAAGTATTTTACGCGCCCGATCACATACAGAAGCAGCTTCATACATTGCTTGGTAACGAGATCATGTGACCGCGTAGACGCACTTCCGGGTTTCTTATTCACGTATCCCACGGCCGGTTTCACATAGAGCGTATTGGTTACGCAGTATTGTGGGGAGCTCAGGGGTCACATGATCACTTAGGTACACTTCCGGTTTTCGGATAGTTGGCGGTTCTCATTTTTCCCACATACCTGTTGGTAAGTTATCAATCTATATTGTTGTGTATATATACTTACCTGTTTCACTGTTTATTTGATCTTGAAGAAGACCCTGTGAGGGTCGAAACGTCGATTGCACATGTAACTTGCACTTAAGAATAAACCAGACTTTAGATGAAGACCTGTGAGTGCACCTTATATACTGCTTTTCGTTTTTTATATATATATATATATATATATATATATATATAAACATCCAAATAGAATGGCTGCTCACCCGTCTTTATTGGCCCTGAAGAAAGTCCCGAATGGGGACTGAAACGTTGGTCGTTATTTTTAACTCTATTAAATAAATTTTTGTTTGATAAAGACCGGTGAGCAGCCATTCTAATTGGATGTTGTGTTATTGGAGCTCAGGCTTACGCTCCCGGCATTGAAGCAGTCAAGGCGTGAGTGCAGGTGATTTTTGCTTTTTTTTTAAAATATATATATATATGTATATGTAAATATATGTATATGTAATTTTATTCTTACTGTATTTTGATATTAATATATATATTTATATAAAAATACACTTATAATGAAATTATATATATATATATATATATATATATCTATGTAACATTTCCTCTAGACAAAAGCAAATGATGACACAAACTTTGTGGCTGTTAGTCTAGTGAACAACAATTTCAATCTTTGGTCAAAGACTTTCCATCAGTTGATCTTTGCAGTATGTACTTGGGCAGCCAGAATCAATCATTGTCTAATAAAACATTCCAAATCTTTTATGTGGTGATTTGAAGTGCAATTGACAACATAACAAACAAACAAACAAAAAGTTATTTGGTTATAGCTTGAAAGCCTCATACTTTCTGTTGCCATTGTATGTTAAATATCACTGGGCCTCTTTACTTTCCTGGCCTTTCCTGCTGTACATAAATTGCAATAGCTGCTGTCCAGTGTCTGACTGCAAGTTGAATGACTAACTAAAGATTTTTGGCAGAGATATTTGTCGCAATGTCTGAGTATGGAGTTGGAATTTTCAATGGCACAGGCCAGACGGGAATGGCTTAAGGAACAACATAGAACATTGATCAATAAAGAACTCGTTGGCCTGGAGTATGACAAGCGCAAGCAAGAGGTTAGTTACTGGCTGTTTATTTTTCATAAAACCTCCACAAATTATCTCGTATTGTTTGTAATCTGAGCTCTATCTAAATCTGGATTCCCCTAAAATAACATAGGCAGGTAAACTAAACATCAATAATGAGGGGTGTTGTTGATAGGCCGGGTTAGATGGTAATTATATTGATGTCCTGCCTACAATGTTTTTAATGTTACATTTCATTTTTGAGAGGCACAGAAAAGGCTTTACTAGAAACTTTGTGCCCATGAACATCTGATGTGATGGGGACCCCAATTATAATGACAAAAGATATGTAATTGTACTTAATTACACTCTTCATATTAAAGGGACACTATAGTCACCAGAACAACTACATCTTATTGTATTCGTTCTGGTGAGTAGATTCATTACCTTCAGGCTTTTTGTAGTAAACACTGTCATTTCAGAGAAATGCAGTTGTTACACTACAGCTTAGGGATAACTCCACTGGTCACTCCTCAGATGGCTGCTAAAGGTGCTTTCGGGGGCAGTGCAGCACAAGGGCAAGAGGGGGCCCAGCGGGCTAGATCTTGGTTTTAACATTAGAGGGTTAGGAATACATGTTTGTGTTTCTGACCCTATAGTGTTCCTTTAATTAGTTTCCATCTTCATACTTTTTTTTGTATTTTAATATTTATCTCCTAATTCTGTGCTTTTTATATTATTTTCTGTGCCCAAGAAACAAAGAGAAACTAATTTTTCTTCCAAATTATTATTTTGTAACTTTTAAAAATATTTATAAAAAACAAACTGATAATCAAATACTTTTTAAATTTGATGCAATTTTAGAGATATATGGTGCCCTATATCTTTTGCAATTTGCATGACAATTATAGCACAAATAAAAACCCATTCTTATGCAACCTATCTGCAACTTAAGTTGTGTTGTGACCTAAATTCAAAGTAGATAATTGGCCACATAGTTCTGCAGCTATAGATAGCACAAAAGTCTTCAAACATCTTCTCTCAAACGATTTGTTAAAAGAATGTGAGATTTGACACATGTCCACAGCTAGCATTGATCGCATGGTTGTTCAAAGCAATTCCATCATAATCAAGATGACCACCAATTACCTTCATGGTATGTGTGAGAATGCTGTGTGTGAAAATGTAGCAGCAGGCAAATTAGGTTGAGCAGTAGTTGGTCAGATAACAGAAGAGTCTGACTCAACATGGCTGTTGAGTCAGATCGAAATAATATATTTTCTAAACAAAATAATCAATATACATCATAAAAAAAAAACGTATTTCATTAAATGTTATAAACTTTAAAGAAACTTTTGATGAGAGTTGTTTTTAGACACAACTGGGTAATCCTTAAATCCTGGGCTGTTAAGGAGTCCTTAAGGACTGGGTTGAGAACCACTGCTGTAGAGGCTGTCAATCTGACAACCACTAGAGGCACTAACACTGAAATAGCAATATTAAATTGCTTTTTTTTATCAGATTGTCTCCGAGACAAAATCTGATTGGCGCAGCATAGCATCTTGCCACGCATGCGCACTAGCCTTCCAATAGAAAGCATTGCATTGGCTGAGATCATTGATTTCAATTATGTCAGCTATTATGTCAGCCCTAAAGGTGGGGGCCGGTTACCTAAACAGCCACCAGGGAACTGTTGTATGCTTCTCTTTCTGGTATCAAAATTGGTTCCTATGCTTAAAGGAACACTACAAAGGTAGGGATACACATTTGTTTTCCTAACATTATAGTGTTCCTTTAAGCATAGGAACCAATTTAACATTATGGTTTTGCAACCAGGAATACAACTTTTTCTATTGTATTCACAGCAATAGCTCGAAAACACACAGATGATGAAAACAAAACAAAAACAAAAAATTAAATATAAAGAGGTATTCCATAAAGTGAGATTTCAAAGTGAATTTCAAATTTAAAGCCAAAGTAGCTCAACTGAAAGCATAACTGGCGTCAACAGTTTTCCAGTTCTCACCATATATTTTAAATTCACTTAGAAATCACTTTGAATTCTTACTTTAGTAAATAACCCTGGGAGAATATTTGCATCAAGCAAAAAGATACAAAAAAAGAAAAACAAATTAATAGTGGTTTTTATTTTTTTTAAATCTAGGTTCATTGCTCCAGTCACCCTTTTTACATGGTTCCTATAGAGTGTTTATACATCATTTTTCACAGGACCCATCCTGACACATGATTAGTCTTAAATTGAAGTTTATTTAATTCAATCATCTACTGCAGCTTAGCTCAGTTTAAAGAATGATGTGCGGTGCTAGGAGTCCTGATGTGGAGATGGATCATAATACGAATCTGTTTTCACAGAGGATAAACCTTAATTTGGGAGCATGATGCCATGGTCAGCGCCTGTACTCCTTCCACACCACGTTCCACAATCTAAGGGCATGCCTAGGTCTCTATCCCCCCAATCTACTAGGGCCAGTAAATATTTTCATACTACAGAAAATCTGGAGATCTCTTTAGTGGCAGAATGCATGGGCAGGCTGGATTATTATTATATTATATTTACACTTGTAGTACTGGAAAGACTAATATAATCCAATAAATGGAATTTGGACAACCTCTTAAATATATCACAGAAAAGATAGGTAGTGTCTACAAAGATAGAAATATCATGGTAATGAAGGAGTTAACAAAACTTGGACATAGTGACTTCTTAAGGGATCAGTGACAATCTAGTAAGAGAAAAACATAGCAATGGCCACAGGTTCATTCCAGGAGTTATGTTATGATGCATACATTTGGGCATGTCCTATCTTATACATAACATTAAATCATTCCCCAGGCCCAGTGTCCAGAAACCTAGAAAAACATTGTCACACATGAATGAAATGTCATCTGGAATTATCTCCTGTCTCACTTTTTACAATTCTCAGCTGTAACCAATCCATCACTGCTTGTTTGCTTCCACTCTTTCAAGACTCAAATGTAAAAACTCGTCTTAAACGATACAAACCTTTCAATAGTTCTGCTCCTTCCATAAGTGTATGCCCTTATCAATTAGTACTCCTTTACCCAGCATCTATTTTCTCTCAGACATAACGTTTTAAATCATTTTATCTTTTCTTTAATAACAAGGCATCTCTTACTCTACCAGTGTGTCCAGAAATACTTCACCTTCACCTACATGTTTCTACATCCTTGCTATTTAAGGTGTCCTCTCAACCAATTTACAACTCCATGAAGAATACCTGGTTTAGCTAATAACCTAGTTTATGTTTCACCTGTATCCTTACATGGTAGTATGTAAGCTTGTGAGCATAGTCAGTTATAATAAGGATACTAACCGTTACTGCTTTATACCTGTTTTATAATAAATGTATGAGTAAACATTATTAACAGATTCGTCCTTCACAATGGGGTCAAAAATTGTATGGAAAGTACTCAGGCTCTCCAACCCTTCCCATCTGTTAACTAACTCACATCATCTTTCTCTTAGCTATCCACCCCCACATTTTAAATTTGATTAAGTGCATAACTGTGTGTTCTTTTTAGTTTGATCGACATTCAGTAATCTCCTGATAATTAACATTTAACTATTTCTAGTATTGTAAGGCAAAGAGTAAAAAGCACAGAGTGGGCCAGTCATTGTAATTCTAGAAGCCTAGGCAAACAGGGATTTTACGTTCTCCATATAAGTATATCTTCTTTATTTTGCCACCGCTGTATGTGCATAATGGAACATATAAAGGCAATACGTAGCATACAAAATAAAAATTAAAAAAAGTAACCCTTTTGTGCATATGAGGATTTGTGCAATAATACAGAGTTATTAATATTATGGAAAAAGCAAACATGTTTTCTAGTAAAATCATAAAACGTCTGAATATTTGCCTTTTACACCTTACACCTTTTTTGAAGCTTAGACTGACTTAGGACACAGCCAATTAATTTTCAGAAATCCCTCCCAAAAAGCATTACTGCAAAATCTACCTTTTCCTTACATCATATCCCTATCATGTAGTAAAAAGACCAATCTGAGCAAAAAAAACAAAAAAAAAAACATGCTATTTACTAGCTGGCATAATGAAGAAGCCTTTCCAGAAACCAAACAGCCCAACTTCTAACTTTCCAACAAAACATCATAAAAAAAAATACAGTGCCAAAACCTATGAATTATTTATTTATTTGGAAGCCCCATCTATTTCTGATTCTTGATGTTCACGGATAGAGTGGGTGTGTTTTTGCTACTTTACATTACACTACATTTTAGCTAATGAATCTTTCTGTTATATTTACAGCATAAGCAGATGGTTGAAATATTAAAATCTGCAAAACAATATTAAAAAGCATAATTGTTCTGTTGGCTTGGTCTAAAATAGAAAGCTACAACACGCCATTCTACATCTGGTAATAATAAACTGTATGTTAAACGTTAATTTAATTTACATTTAATTGATGGAAATACATTGGGGAAATACATGGATTTTTGACATTGTGTAATCACTGTTTCTTGTAAAAAAAAAAAAAGAGTAAATGCATGTCCTAATTATCACAGAAATATTTTACAGAATCTTTTACCTGAGCAAGAGGTGAAAATGTTGCAAAAGGAGAAATCGGTGTTAGTTTTGCAGGTAGAAGCTTTGAGGAAAGAGAGGAGTGAATCAGAACGGGATCTGAATTTACTTTGCCAGTTTTACAAAGATGAAGCGAATGCCCAGAAAAAACATGTTTTACAGGTTCTTTCTCCTTTAAGATATCCACTGACCTTGATCCACTCCCCCTCTCATCTACCCATCCATCCATCGACCCAACCAACCAACCATCCAGCTACCCATCCATCCATCCATCCAACCAACCAACCAACCATCCACCTACCCATCCATCCATTCATCCATCCAACCAACCAACCAACCAATCATCCACCTACCCATCCATCCAACCAACCAACCATCCACCTGCCCATCCATCCATCCATCCATCCATCCATCCACCCAACCATCTACCTACCCATACATCCACCCACCCAACCAACCAACAACCCACCAACCAACCAATCCATCCAACCAACCAACCATCAACCCACTCACCAATCCATCCATCCATCCAAACATGTTTTTGATATTTGCTGTATTTGTCATGTTTTAAGATATTTCATGCATATCGGGGGCTTTTAGAAGAACAAATGGATGCACAAGAACATCGCTACAGAAAACTTCTAGAGGAAACAGTCCAGGATGCTGTTCAACTCTCTACTAGAAATCAAGAGCTAGAAACTGAAAATAAACGATTGCAGGAAGGTGAGAAACTGAGATCAGCATCAGTTCTTTATCTGTTTAAGTTTATGAAGGTAGTAATTCATTGCTGAAAAATACTCCTATTGTGAAAACTGTGGTGATTGGATGGGCTTAAATACTGTTTAATAAATTTAGTCTGACAAGTATTTGTTGGGCCTAAAGACCAGTGGTTCTCACTCTTTTGTGGATCATATTGACAACTCTGCTCACAGTGCTTGCTCATTGGATGAGAGCTTTAACTGGTCTCTCTCAGCCTGTACTGCAGAGCTTAGCTCAAACTAAGAGTTTATTGCTCTCCATGGTCAGTAGTGGAGGCAGGAAGCTGTGTACAGCAGACTCCAAGTAAGAAGTCAAACCATTCTAAATCAGTTTGACTACTTACTGTGGAGCAGAGTGTGCCAGGGCAGCCAGTAGGTTTCCAGATCCCAGTGATTTGCATTTCACTGTACTGTGTATCATACCTTGGCTATTTTATTTTAGCTTTAGGAGTATTCAATTTAAATATGCATGATAACCCTTAGAACTCATAGTAATAGTCACGGTGCCAAGAGTCTTTGGGCGCCATCTCCTTAATATAAAACCATTTTTGAGTGGTTTAACAAAATTTTAGGCACCACAATACCTAAAGCCTGTTCCATCTGCTGAAAATGTTTAAGGTATTAGTTATTTATTTTGTAGGATTTTATGTTTGAAAGAGTTTGAAAAAGTCACATTTTCAAAAAAGTCTCAGTGCTTGTTCCTCAGTGCTTTATTCCAAAGAGGTCATCTATCCAAACATACATTTATTCTGTTTTAACAGTAATCATGGAACTGAGAAGAAAAGATGCAAAGAAAGCACAAAACTAACTTCACGTTCCAGATGGATGGTTGAAAAATGCTTCTGCAGAAGATTCAGCTAGAAATGTTCTTAAAATATTTTATTGGGAAACATTTGTTGGTTATCCATTATAGTACAGCTGTAATGTATATTGCACTCTAGAATAACTTTGTATTACATAATTAGAAGGAATGTTCACCTGATTCTGTGAAGTGTCTATTGACTTTTTCTAAATTCATGTCCTCCCTTCAACGATATTGATGTTTGCAAGTGAACTTATTTTTAAAAAATGATGAAAACTCGAAAGAGTCACTCTGCAGTTAAACCAAAATCTTGGTCCGCATGGGGGCTTTTGTAAAAAGTATTGCCATTATTGTATTCAATAAACAATAAAATAAAAAGCAGAAGAAGACAAATAATAAGCAAGTACAAAACTAGCAATTTAGCTCATGCTGGCAAATGATGGTGTGAAAAGAAGGAAAAAAGTGATCAAATGACAAAAAGAATCGCTGAACATGTTTTATGTCTAATATGGCACTTTCTCAATACCTAACTCCTCAGCATGACATTCTTTTTAAATCATTTTTATCGAAATTTAGTTTCATACACGAGTTACGGAAATATGAATTATTTACTAAATAATAGACAACAATAAGAATCCATAAAAGAATAAATAAATAAAAAGCTATTTGTTGTTGGTTGAATGGAGGTCATCACTTCAAAAAATACTTACTTCTAACGTCGCTTTTCAACATTAGTGGTTAAGATGTCTAGTTTTTATAGATGGTTGTTGAAAAATCTCTTTCATTTTCGAGAGTTTAATTTAGAATTTCTTTGTAGATGGGATATTGACAGTTTTTCAATATTTAGGGATTAGTGAAGTGGCCGCTTTAATTGATGATTTAACATATTGGATTCATTTTTAGTTAAATTTAGAGAAATTGTTTTTGAATGAGCAAATTTCTACAGGTTAAATTTATAACGGAGTCTGTAATTGTGTTAATAATTTTGTGAATCGAATTCCAATATTCTTTAATTTTGCGGCATGCCCAAAAAATATGGCCAACTTTTCCACAATTTCCCACTTTTCCACAATGCCTCCAACATTTGTTTGAATTTGTTAAATTAAATTTGTGTAATTTTAAAGGGGTTAGTTACCACTGATATAATTTGTAATGGGATTCAAGGTGACAGATGCCTGTGTAGTACCTTTTAATGATAAAATATAACCATTTCAATCATCCAAACCAAAGTCAGATTTAAGTCCCTTTCTCAATGCAGCATGAAGTCCAATTTTTGTTATCAGTATTCTGAAAGACTAAATGAAACATAGATATAGTATGTTTCCTCCCTGGATCTGAGAAGTAAATTTTTTCTATGGGTAAAATTGCTACTGCTCTTTGATTCAAATCTTGGTCGAAAACCTCAAATCGTAAGCTAACCCATTCTATTATTTTTTTATGTGTTGGGGCGTTCGAATAATCCAAATTATAATTTTCTTAAAGGGTATGAATTTATTAATTTTAATGAGATTATCTATATCCTTCTGAGAGAAAGTCCATTAACTTGAAAGACATTTATTTTCCTCGGTTCCCATGAGGATATAATTAATTGAATGAAAGGACCAATTTACAAAGTCAAAATCAGGTATTTCTTTGGATAAAATTGATAAAGGTGTTGCTATTGATAAATTTGTTGTTGGTTTGATTCATTTAGAAATCAAATTGCATTCCTTAATAGCTGTTTTTGTTGCTGGAAATAATAGGTATAATTTTGGTCTCTGATTTGGGGGCAACCATAATATTTCTTTAATTGAAATGGTGAATTTTTTTATGTTTCCATTTCCATCAACTGGGGATTTTGGGAATCCAAATTAAATTTAAGAGCTGTTGCTGCATTTGTAGCATAATAGTAGTGGACAAAATCCGGCTGTGACGGTAGCATATGGTATCACCGTCAAGCATTCCCTTCTTCCCATAAAAGAAAATCACCCAATATTTCACAAGTAGAAATATCCCTGGAATCGCCGAATAATCCACACATGAGCCAAAGCTTAATGCTGGAACAAGACTGATTTACTGGCACACAGAATCCACAATTCATGCAATACAAAACTCTTCCTCTGGGCCACATGCTCCCATGGAATCAAAGGGCAGAAACAGTCTTTTAAAAGCCAATAAGCCCAATTAGTCTTTTTAACTGGCAAAGTCTCCCAGGGACCATAGACACATGGCAGGAGGCTGGCAATTAGTCCTCTCCAGGCACAAGTGGAGAAGGGCACTTCGTCACACCGGCAAATCCAATCGTCCTCCAGCTCTGGTCTTTTGTAATAATGCTTATTTAATTCTACTTGGTTTATGATTCCAAATATAAGTTAGAAGGGCCGAATGTATTGATCTGAAAAATGAGATTGGAATTTTGAGAGGTATGGCTCTAATGAAATATAACATCTTTAGGAGAACGTTAATTTTGATTGAATTCATTTTATCTATTCATGAAATTTCGAGATCACACCAATGTTCTATGTCTTCTCTAAATTTTGACCATTTTTTTCAAGTTATAATCATGCATCCTTTATAGGTTCTTGCGTAGATTAACACCTAAATAAGAGATAAAAGAGTCTCTCCAATCAAAGTCAAATTTATTGTTTAGAATATGCAATTCATGTCTTGGGACAAAAAAGGAAAGAGTTTAAGTTTTATTGGTGTTTAATTTATATAGGGAAATGTTGCCATATTCTTTTAGAATAGACAATCAGACTGACATATTCACATGCCCTCACAGATGTAGACACTCAGATTCACACACAGATCAACACACTCATAGATTGACATATTTAGACTCACAGATTCACACAGATTAACACATGCTCACAAATTCACACAGATTTAGGCTCACAGATTTCTTTAGACTTAGACTCAAAGGTGAACAATGTGGCACTATCTGCCTGGTATGCCTAAATGTCTACCTAAAGACTATCTCACTCACACTGGCTTTCCATACCTTCTTTTCTGGACCTACACCGAAAGCGCTCTTCCCTACCTTACCTTCCAGCAGTTCAGGGAGCCGGAATAAGCCATTCGTACTACAGTGGGACCTAGCTGTAATTGTCTGGAACTGCAGCTCGGCCACTACAAGTAAGTCCCATCCTTGGTTTCTTCTACTATGTCCAGAAGAGTGCTAATTGGAGGGAATGTACAACGAACGAACACTGAGGAACAATCACTCCCTGAAAGCCAGGGATCAGCCATGCTGATGTCTTCAAAGGGTGAGCTGCAGCAGAGGAGGCCCCGTGCTGGAAAAAAGGTAAGTAATCTCTTTAAATTGTTTGATACCAAAGGGGGGTGGACAGAAGGAAACCTATAGTCTGTAAAATGATTATTACTTCTGGGAGTATGGGTTCCCTTTAATTATACATAGGGATTTAGCATAGTACACATGCACCTTTTTGGTTTTGTTTTTATGAATTTAGACTGATAAATACCTGAGCCTTTGCTGCCAGCCAAGAGTAGCTAGAATTTGCCTTATGTAGTTTCAATATAAGCAGTTCAGGAAACATTTTGTGCAAAATGCTGCAGTACAGCAGTGTGGAGCACCAGGGAGGCATTCAGATGGGTGGCTGCAGTAGCCGCACAGTCTCTAACCACATTAGTGTTTTGCAACCCCTGCATTCGCATCTTGTCAGAAATTAAACAGATAAACTATCTATAAAAAAAAATAAAATAAGAAAAATTCTACTTTCTGAGACTCATAACCAGATCATTCACTATTGGAGCTGAAGCAGCTGCTCATTCAGCCACGATGTTAGAATCGCCCTGTAAGGGAGACTGCATTCTAGATACCACGTCACTTTCTGGGTTGCCATGGTGACCAGGCACCATGGACTTGTCGAGCCCTGGTCTAATAATAGATGTCTCTGTCTGTAACCCTAACTATTGTTGTTTACTGGATTGTATAGTTCTCCAGATAGGAGATCTATATAAGAACTAATAAAGTGTATTGCTCAGTCATATAATGAAATCCAAAATGAAACCTTAGATTAGTTACAATAGAATATTCATAGAGTACCTGCTCACCAGCCTAAATTGGAATATTTATTTCATGAACCATGTTACTTTGAGAGAAGGAATTCAATAATATCTGTTAGACATATGTAGAAAGACTTTTTACAATCCTCTTCGTCAACACTAATGGGAAGTATGTGGGGGAAATTAGATGTAAATGTCATGGAACAAAATATCCTCATTCAAAACAAAAAAAGAAAGTTACTTGTCTTGAACGTGGATAAAAGCTGGATATGTTTAAAGAGCAATTGACCGGTATACATCTATCTCAAACCAAAGAAAAAAAGGGGTTTAATGTGATCAGAGTGAATAGATGCAAGTTAAAGGACCACTATAGGCACCCAGACCACTTCAGCTCAAGGAAGTTGTCTGGGTGCCAGGTCCATCTACGGTTAACCCTGCCTGCTGTGAACTTAGCAGTTTACATATGGGTTAATCCAGCCTCTAGTGGCTGTCTCATTGATCTTCACAGTGAGAAGACGCCAGCGTCCACAGGAAAGCATTGGAAAGGTAAGTTATTTAACCCCTTCCTCTCCCTTCAACCCGGTGGGAAGTGGGCCATGACGGTGGAGGGGGACCTATTAACACTATAGTGTCAGGAAAACGAGTTTGTTTTCCTTGCACTATAGTGGTCCTTTAAAGCCTCTCTCCCTGGTAAACTTGCTAGACAGTCAGAGTATGAAAAGGAAAGAAAGAGGGTAAGATGCTAATAAAAATAATAGTAACCCATGCTTAAATATGTATGGTATAGTACACCAGCGTGATTGTGAGTGCCCTGTGAATCAGAAAATTTGTTCATAGATGTAAATGTCAGCATGAAATAAACAGAGGCAGATTTAAAATTTTCAGAATTGTGTTTTCAAATCAAATTTACAATAATGCTTAATTTTATAATGTACCCTCTTGTTGCTCTACCCAACTCCCATCCAATGCTCCGAAGCTGAAAAACGTAGCCCAGCTGTATACACCATGGGGGTTTCCACTTTTTGATCCTCCTTTGCTGTGTTAGTATATAAGCACTGAGCAGCTAATTATTGTTTAGTATAGAATGTTCCTGAGCTTGGATTTAGAAATGACATTTACAAAAATTCTCTAAGTCAGCTAATGCAGTGTGAAATTCACTTAGAATTCCCAGCAATTCTCATTTTAGTTACAAACCCCAAAATGACAGAATTTTCTGAAAAGGGAAGAGGCAGTATATACTGATTTTCGGGCTAATCCATGTCAGCATCACCAATGGGTTAAGCTCCTCCCTCTCAGATGATAGGACAGGAATAATAAAATTTGAGTTAACATATATAAGGACCCTCCTCCCCTTTTTCCTGTCCTCCAGCTGTTAGGCAGCTATTTTTTTTTCTTTTAAAGCTCACCTGCCAGTAGTTTTTCAATATGGCCCCCTTGAGAGTTCAGCTTCTCTCCGTAAGGAAAAACCCAGATACAGTCCTAGCAGTTTGGGACTCCCTGGGTTAAGATTACTATTTTAGGATATAGTAATTTTAAGAAAAACTAAAGTCTCTCGTGGAATTATACTTATTCTAGAGGTGGTAAGGTAGCCCTTCTTTTACGTAATATCTCTCTATTTTCTCTCTCTATTCACTTATATAATCTGTTTAGGTGTACAAATATGAAGGCAGGCCGAAATTTTTAACTTTGCTAATTTCATTTTCCTTTTCCCCACAACTTCTGGGCTGGCCCTGTTATCAGAGGTATTGGGGCACCTTTTTTAAAAAATAAAATGCATTTTTCTGTTTTACTTTCCAAGAACCCTGCTTAAAGTGTCTTCTCTGTGCGTTTGGCAAATCCAAAATGGCCGACTGGCGTCTCTCGGGAGCGAATGCCCATTTGCGGCAGTAGTGTATAAATGGTATGTTAAGGTAGAATGGTATTTAAGGGGGTACTTTACCTTAGGCTTACATTTATTTAAAAATTCTGCTTTCGGTGGCCTTAGTTGTGCTGTAAAGTGTTGGATTCTCTTCATAACTGCTGCAGGGTAAGGGTTTTTCTTTAATCAATTTCTTAATTGAGAATATTGAGAATTTTATTTTATCCATATGAATATGTGTATTTAGGTTTCACCATACATATGGATGTACATGTGTATAGGTGTGTGAATGTGTATATGTATGTTTATATATATATATATATTAAAATGTGTGTGTGTATAATATATTTGTGGTCGGGGGCAATATTGCTGTAGTGGTTAGATAACATATAAATAATAACAAAATATGAATAGTAATGTTAACATTAAAACACTAGTCGGTTGTGGTGTGCCGTAACTGATAATGCAGTAGGCCTGTAAAAAAGAGGGCCCACCTATAGAGGGTGATGTGAAAAGAGGGAGTGGTGGAATGGTTAACTCACCTGACCAATAACGGTATGTGAGAGAGGGCTGGAGGCCCTTATAAAGGAGACCCCTAGACCCTCCCACAACTACAGGCCCTGCCTTAAATATATATACATATATATGTATATGTATATGTGTATATATAGGTGTACTCACTTTTGTTGCCAACTCTTTAGACATTAATGGCTGTGTGTTGAGTTATTTTGAGGGGACAGCAAATTTACACTGTTATACCGGCTGGACAATTACTACTTTACATTAGAGCAGAGTGTTCTTCAGTGTTGTCAAATGAAAAGATATAATAAAATATTTACAAAAATGTGAGGGGTGTACTGTATATATGTATACTTATACTATGTTATATACATATATTGCAGCCTGAGACAGCCTGTAAAGAAGGTTCCGCAAGAAAAAGGAAAGAAAAAACAGTGTCATGTTTGTCTAACTATGGCTATAGAAGGGAAAAACTTCTGACAGGACTGCTTCCATGTTATTGCTAACAAAGGAGCATCCACTTCTCAGGTATTAAAGAGGTGACTCATCAAAGTCTTTACAGCCCAAACACCCTCAGGCCTTCACATCTGCATGGGAATCGGAGCTCAATATCAACATACCACCTGACAGGTGGTGCAAAATCTTTACAAATATTCACAAAACATCTAGAAACACAGAGACCCAAGAGAGTAACTATAAAAGAATAGTTAGAATAGTATTATATGTACTTATCCGGTCGCCGGCGATCCCACGCCAGCGATCACGGTTTAGGGACTCACCTGGGAGCCCAGGGAGTCTCCCTCCATCCTCTTCGGGTCCCCTGGGCCATGTGATCGCAAGGTCCTTGCGAGGACCTCGCGATCACATGGACGGAATAGCCGTCCAAGGCATTGCCAGCAGGGGGAGTGCCTGTAATGACATTAATAATGAAAATAATAATATACTTAGATCATATATGTATCTATTATATATATGATCTAAGTATATATTTATATATATATATATATATATATATATATATACACATACACATATTTACACATATATACTGTCTAAGTGTATATATATATATTAATATCAAAATACACGTACAATGATATTAATGAAATATATATATAATTATCATTATATATATATTTATATATAATATAAAATAAATATATATGTAAATACGTTAAAAAACTAAATAAAATAAATAATATATATATATATATATGTGTGTAATTTCGTTTTAACTGTATTTTAAAATTAATATATATATTGATATCAAAATACACTTAGAACTAAATAATATATATATCTATATACATAAGTATATACATATATATTACTATATATATACCTATATATAAATAAAAATAATTTTAAAAAAATATATACATATATATATATATATATATACACACATATATATATATATATATATATATATACATACACACGTGTATATATTTATGTAATAATTTTACATAATTAGGTCATTTTATTAATTACAATTTGCGGGACCTGCCTGACAACCCAGGCTGAAAGTCCAAGGAATTTAATTTGCTAGCACTATATTTAACCCTGTAACTTTCCAAGACACCATAACACCTGTACATGGGGGGTACTGTTTTACTCGGAAGACTTTGCTGAACACAAATATTAGTGTTTCAAAACAGTAAAATGTATTACAACGAAGATTTCAACAGTGAAAATGACTTTTTTTGCATTTTTCACACACAAATGGCACTTACACGGACGATATAATTGTTGTGATACGTTTCACTGTTTTGAAACAATGTGTTCAGCGAAGTCTCCTGAGTATAACAGTACCCCTCATGTACAGGTTTTATGGTGGTTTCAAAAGTTACAGAGTCAAATATAAGGCTTGCGTTTCAGTTTTTTCACATTGAAATTCGCCAGATTGGTTACGTTGCCTTTGAGACCATATGGTAGTCCAGGAATGAGAATTACCCCCATGATGGCATACCATTTGCAAAAGTAGACAACCCAAGGTATTGCAAATGGGGTATGTCCAGTCTTTTTTTTTAGTAGCCACTTAGTCACAAACATTTACATTTGGTTCAGTCTTTAAAGGGTTTAAGAATCTGACGTCTATTTTGAAGATTTTCACAGGAAAAGAGCTACCTTTCCTATTCACTCTTCTATTAAAGGACTAGTAGAATCCGAATGGAATAAACCTGAGAAATATCTGTCTCCTCAGGGCGCAAGTTTTACAGACTTTATCCATTCTAGAGTAATGAGGTAAAATTCTGGAATTCAGCACCGAAGATAGATGCGGCTATTATTAAGGTAGCAAAGAAAACTGTATTACCTATTGATAGCGCGGCCTCTCTGAGGGATCCTATGGAGAAGTGTATGGATGCTAATCTTATTAAATAAAATAAACTGCATTGGGAGCAACCATGCATCCATCTGTAGCCCTAACCTCATTGTCTAGAGCTCTGAGAGTTTGGACGACAACAAGCAAAGACATTTCTAATGGAACAAGGAGAGAATCTGTGCTAGAAAAAGCTAGAGTTTTAAAATTGGCATTGGATTTCCTTACTTAGGCTTCAGTTGATATTACCAAACTTGTTTCCAAGGCTATAGGGCACTCAGTAGCAGCCAGAAGGTCCTTTCGGCTTAGAACATGGGGGGCAGATAATGCTTTTCAAAACCAACCTGTGCTTACTACCATTTCAAGGTAACCTTCTATTCGGCAAAGCCTTAGATGAAGCTATATCTAAAGCATTGGAAGGAAAGAAAGCTTTGCTACCACAGGACAGAAGAGTAAAAATATATTCCAGTGGTTGGGGAAGAGGATATAAGGAACATTTATTCTTTCGTGACTTTAAATCATACAAACATGGAAAGGACAGGGACAAGCCCCAAAGTCACAAAGAGGAAAAGGAAGAGGTAAATCCTACTGAAGGGGGAAGGGTTCAGATATTCGAGGTAGGTGCCTTCCTTACGAGGAAGAATTTATGGGGAGCTATTCTCTTGTTTTCCTTGCTCTAAAACCATAAGGAAGTTGGAGAATGATTCTGGATCTTAGCAAAGTGAATACTTTCCTGAAGAAAAGAACATTGAAGATGGAAAGTCTTAAATCAATAATTCCACAACTGCAAACATCAGAATGGTAATATCAATAGACCTTCAGGATGCTTATTACCATATTCCTATAGTACCCAATCACAGAAAGTATCTAAGGTTCTGGATATTAAACAGTCATTATCATTTTTGAGGTAAGCCTTTTGGTCTCACCTCAGCACCCAGGACATTTACAAAAATCCTGATCGGCTTAAAAGCTATTCGGAGAGAAAAAGGAATAAAAATATTCCATTACTTAGATGATATCCTGGTGGTAAAAAAAGTGAAAAAATTCCCTATTACAACACAGGGATATGGTGATAAAAACCTTACAGGAATTTGGATGGATCTTGAACCTAAACAAAAGTCAGTTGAATCTTTCCCAAGTGATAAACTTTCTAGGAGCAAGTATTAACACGAAAACTAATTGGGTATCATTATCGGAAGACCGGATATCGCGATTACTGAACAAAGTGCAGGAAGCCATAATTTGCCTTGAAATGACAGCCTCAGAATACATAAGTCTTCTAGAAACCCTCTTGTCGACTACTGGTCTTTTAAAATAGACACAATGAAACCTAAAACCGGTTAAAATGAATTCTTTAATACAATTCAATCAGAAAGATCAAAATTGGCACAAACCAATTGTATTAACAGAAAAGGTGAGACTGAGTCTTCAATGGTGGACTAAGGAACAAAACATCCAGATAGGCTTCCCATTGGAGGAACCAGAAGGGGAAATGCCAGTGGAACAGGTTGGGGTGCTAGTTACAGACACCATTTAGCACAAGGCGTATGGCCGTTGAACAACTAGAAGCTACAATCAAACATTCTGGAATTGAGAGCAGTGCTTCGAGCACTGATTGCCTTCAAACCTTTCCTGAAAAACAAGTAGGTAAAAGTACAAGTGGACAACGTAACGGCCATGACATATATAAATCACCAAGGCGGAACAAAAAGAAAAAAAATTTATTCAAGAATTGAATCCAATAATCTTCAGGGCCCAACAATATCTAGAAGGTCTAGAAGCTATCCACCTTCCAGGAAAGGAAAACCAAGTGGCAGACTATCTGAGCAGGAACTATATAGATCCAGGAGAGTGGAAACTAGATGCAAAAATATTTCTGGAGATTTGCAAGAAACAGGGAATGCCAGTTATAGATCTCATGGCAATCTTCAAAAACAAACAACTTCCCAGATTATTTTTCCAGAAGATTCGTTCTAAGGGCAATGGGTAAAGATGCACTTTCCCAGAAATGGAACTTCAAACTGAGTTACATTTTCCTCCTTTCCATTTAATCCTGAGGATTCTCAGGAAAATTTGGAAGGAACAAGTGACAGTCATTGCCATTCTATCATACTGGCCTAGAAGACCATGATTCCCGCTTCGTCTCCAATTATCTCAGGAAGAACCATGGGAAATTTCTCTTATCCCGCA